GATTTATAAAACAATATAAACATATCTAAAGCCATGGGATTCCTTTACTTTTCTTGGGTTATTTTTCCTGGGGGGGGGGGGAATGTGGCAGCCAATATCACATTTGCGCTTGTTGTTCAGCTTTGCCCTCTGACCTCGGGCTGTGATGGCTTTGTGCTGCTTCCTGGGGTGAGGTGGGGTGGGGGGTGGGGGGTGGGGGGCATCGGGATGGCCACATTTTCAAGCACGAAGGGGAGGGTTGCCTTAAAGCCTCCCATTCTTGCTGCATTCAGCGGTGGATGGAAATTCACTGCAAGTAGACTGGCATCCAGTCATACACAGGTCTGAGTTTTTTCTTAGAGAAAAAAAATTGCCCGTTATTCTTAGAATATATGCCCGGCACTAAAGAGGCAAAATTTAAAAAAAAAAGCCAACCCTTTTGGTTGTTGTGACAAGCAACTAGTAGAATAGTGGAGGGGGGGGGAGGAGAGAGAGAGGGAGGGGGGAAATATAATTTTGAAATGACATCTGGCTAACCCTTTGCAAAAAAAAAAAAAAAAGCCCTTTTACGCTTCCTTTTCCCAAGGGATACTTTCCTTTTCCAATATGCTGTGAGTTTCATAAGATCTTGTAGCTAGTGTTGCATCACCTGTCTCCTGACCAGAGCTACTTCTGCAAAGTACGAGGCAGGGAGGGGAGACCAGCATCGAATGCATACAATAGTGGCCAAAATTGTGGAAACCTTTTGGGAAAAGTGTACAGTAGAAATGCCACCTTTGGCTAAGTTTCCACCTATTTTTTCTTCTAATTTCTTTATAACTGTAGCCTTGTTCACTTCTTCTTCTTCTTGTGCCATATCCGTTATCGGATGTTGGCGATCCTGTTTTTATCAGCAGCCATACTCTTGTGGAAAAATAAAGCCTTAAAAAAAAAATAAAGGACTTTTACGAAATTCCAAGAGAGATTTTTATTTTTGCGCAAAAGGTTCAGAAGTGATTTAACAATCAACAAATTTCTGAACAAAGGGGAGGGTCTAAACTAAAGCTTTATAGGTTTCTTTTTCTCAGGAACAAAGGAGGCATAGATGGAATGTTACATTGTATATGGAATCTACTTTGGGTAACATTCAGATAGTTTCTCACACATTAGGTCCATTTCTCATGGGAATACAATGAAGGCAGTTTTTACTTTTATACAATGTTCCTAAATATGCATTAGGTCATTCAGGTACTGTTAATACAGCTTTTGGCTAACACAGCTTTCTTTCAGAGATTATGCAGACACATGATTTTTGCTTTTAGTGATTTTTCATTATTATTATTATACTTTATTCTTCTTTATTCTATGTTATTCTATTTCTTTTCCACTTTAATACGAAAAAGTGCTGCTGAGTTTTGTCCAAACCAGACCCTTAGATTTTGAAGCCACGATGTTCTTCTTCTGCCTGGACCTCGTTTGCCTTCAATCTTTCCCTGGAGGATGAAATGGAGCATGCCGTGTTGTTCATTTAATAATACTATTTTACATCGCTTTCTGGGCAACCAGTCAACTCTTTGCACCAATACTTTAACTTTATTACGTTTTACAAGCCCACTAAATGAAAGAACACAAAAAAACCCAACCAACTTGATAGCGATCCCATAACACACCTCCTCTCAGCTTCAATACAGGACATCAGTAACTGACTCCTACTGTGATCTGATTGGCTCAGGGCCAAAACAAGATGACACCTGACTGGCTCTCTAAACACTCATGCTCATTGGCTACAATCAGATGAAGGAAAGCTACCTGAGATCAACCTAAGCACGTTGTTCTTCCTTTTTTCTGGTTATTTGGCTATAACTTTTCATAGAACACAGTACAGATAATTGAACAAACTATGTTGCATTACGTTCTTGATTAAATTATCTTTCCATTGATATACAATTTTAGGGTACTACTCCAGGAAAAAAAAAAGTGGTGTTATTAGCCATCAAACCTCAAAAATACACTTTTCCCAAAAGGTTTCCACAATTTTGGCCACTACTGTAAATGCCCAGAGAAAACACACAGCTCTGAAATGCTGCTTGGAACAGAAGGCAGGTGAGCCTCCTGACAGGCCTACTAACCAGCAAATACTATGGACACGCTTTCTCTGTTTTCCTTCTGGATCCTGGCTCTTTTCAGAGCAGGATTTTAGCGCACACTTGCCTTGTACCTTTCCCAGAATTGTATGCAGATTGCCTTTGAATTGCAACGCCGGAGAAAGTTAATGGAGATTCCTTGGACCACAAGAAGAACACATGATCCAGTACTAGTAAAAGTAAAACCAAGTTGCCAACAGGAAGCACTAACAAGAAAGGCCAAAGCTTAGCTAATTTGGGCACATCGTGCAAAGACAAAAGAGCCCTTGGTGGCGCGGTGTGTTAGAATGCAGTATTGCGGGTTAATTCTGCCGACTGCCAACAGTTTCAGCAGATTGAGAGGATCAAGCTTGCCTCAGACCTTCCATTTTTTCCGAGGTGAGTAAAATGTGGACCCAGATAGTTGAGGGCAAATATGCTGACTCTGTAAACTGCTTAGAGAGGGCTGTAAGCAGTGTGAAGCAGTATATAAGTCTACGTGCTATTGCAGGGGTCCTCAAACTTGGCCACTTTAAGACTTGTGGACTTCAACTCCCAGAATTCCACAGCCAGCCATGTTGGCTGGGGAATTCTGGGAGCTGAAGTCCACAAGTCTTAAAATGGCCAAGGTTGAGGACCCCTGTGCTCATACTATTGCTTGGGGGAATAGAGGACCCTTGAAAAAGAAGCTGACAAGATCAGAGGACCACATACCATCATTGATGAACAAACAAAACCTTGCAAGAACACAAAGAAGTGACGGTTAATAGACAATTCTGATGAAATCATGTCCGTGGAGCTCATGAGATCTTTGCCCAAGCGCCTCACGATATTTTGGATATCAGGAAACTAGCCTGTCATCTTCATCAGACACTTCACATCCAGCCAAATGAGTTGACAAACAGGTTTTTCAGCTAGAAAATATAAATAGCTTGGGGGAGGAGGGTAGCATTTCAGGACAATTACTGAGAGGATTCTTTGACGAACCAGCTTGTTAAATATTAAATATCAAAGTTGTAAATTACTGTAGAGGCTTTATATAACTAAATTAAATCCAAACAACCTCTCATTTTCTTGATCGCTGACTGTAATCCTCCAGGAACGTGTGTTATTAACTCAGCGACTAATAGCAGAGAAAGTGGAAGACTTCACAAAAAAAAAAAAGTTTGGGGATATTAAATTTTAATCCTCAGAAAAATCTTCAAGGGAGGTGTCGCAGCCCTGTACTGCCAGCTGGTGCTCAACAGCATCTTTACCAAACTCCTAAATAGCAACGGTGGTCCCCTCTCCCCACCTTAATTTAATGAAATATTTACTTCTGTAGAAGTGATGAAGAACCTGAGATCTCTGCAGCCCAATGTGGATGGGGAGGAGGTAGGAAAAAAAAGGAGGAGGAAAATAAGAAGGGAATCATCAGCAACACCTGGAAGTGGGGCTCCGCTACAAATTTAGATCTGTGCCACCCACTGCTCAGTTCTGCTTCTCCCCCACCCCCGTTCCCTAGACAGGTTCTGTCTTCACATGGGCAGGTTACAGATGGCATATACAGTAGTGGCCAAAATTGTGGAAACCTTTTGGGAAAAGTGTATTTTTGAGGTTGGATGGTTAATAACACCACTTTTTTTTTGGGAGTAGTACCATAAAATTATCTATCAATGGAAAGATAATTTAATCAAGAATGTAATGCAACATAGTTTGTTCAATTATCTGTACTGTATTCTACGAAAGGTTATAGCCAAATAACCAGAAAAAGGAAGCACAACTTGCTTAGGTTGATCTCAGGTAGCTTTCCTTCATCTGATGGTAGCCAATGAGCATGAGTGTTTAGAGAGCCAATCGGGTGTCATCTTGTTTTGGCCATGAGCCAATCAGATCACAGTAGGATTCAGTGATTGATGTCATGTATTGAAGCTGAGAGGAGGATATTGGTCAGGGTGTTCAGTTGGTTGGGTTTTTTTTATGTTCTTTCATTTAGTGAGCTTGTAAAACATAATAAAATTAAAGTCATGGTACAAAGAGTTGACTGGTTGCCCAGAAAGCGATGTAAAATAGTATTATGAAGTGAACAAGGCTACAGTTATAAAGAAATTAGAAGAAAAATGGGTGGAAACTTAACCAAAGGTGGCATTTCTACTGTACACTTTTCCAAAAGGTTTCCACAATTTTGGCCACTACTCTACTGTAAATAGCTCAGCTCCGAGGTTACTAAATGAATCCTAATTTTGAACCTAACTCCATATGGAGAGTCCATGTTGCTCCTCCATTAGCTTGTTTGGGTCTAGGGCAGCATTTCTCAACCGTGACAACTTTAAGATGTATAGACTTCAACTCCTAGAATTCCCCAGCCAGCATGCTGAAATTCTGGAAGTTGAAGTCCACACATGTTAGAGTTGCCAATATTGTGTAACACTGGTCTAAGGCAGGGGTAGGCAATCTTGGCTCTTTTATGACTTGTGGACTTCAACTCCCAGTATTCCTGAGCCAGCATGGCTCAGCATGGAAACCTCTCCCACATTCACGTCGGCTTTCGCCACAAGCCAAAGTTGAGTTTGTGAGATTCCTGAAGGCTTTCTTGCCTGTCTGGCTGCCCTTTTCGGGGGGGTCACCCAAGGCGAAGCCCTGGCCAGCCCCTAGGGAGACCTGGCTGGCCGGGATGTTGCATTGGACAAGAGACCCCCGTCCCCAGCGGAGCCACAGCCCGCCCGACGGGGCTGGGAACCTGGCCGCTCCTTGCAGCCCTGGCGCGCTGGAGGGGCAGTGGGAAACCCCCTCCCCCGCCTCCGGCCGTCTGGCTCAGCTTGTCCCCCCCGCCCCCGTCTCTCTCCCCCCCCTCGTCCCCTTTCAGGAAGTCCGGGGAAGGGAGGGAGGGGGCCGGGCAATCTTCTGCGCGCCGCGGGACCCTCTGCGGAGAGAGAGAGAAAGAAAGAGGCGTCGTGGCCGGCCGGGCCGAGAGGATGGAGGCGCTGGTGCTGCTGAACGCGCTGGTCACCCGGCTGCTCTTCGCTCTGCATGCGCTGCTGGGCGTCTGGCGGGTGACCGAGGCGACGAAGGAGCGCAAGTACTGGCTGCTGGCGCTGCTGAACCTCTCGCTGTGCCTGGAAGCGGCGCTCACGCTCAAGCTGAAGCGGGGGAGAGGCTACAAATGGTGAGGCAGCTTTGCCAGGTCCCGCCGGGGCTCCAGTTCTTTGTCTTCCCTTCTCTTGGCTTCCTCCCTCTCTCCTTCCTTCCTTCCTTCCTTCCTTCCTTCCTTCCTTCCTTCCTTCCTTCCTTCCTTCCTTCCTTCCTTCCTTCCTTCCTTCCTTCCTTCCCTCCCTTTCCAAAGAGAAACTCTTCTTCTCTGCCCGATGGTGCTGCTGGCGCTTTGGTGACTTCTGCCCACGAGGCAACATTTGGATAAGCGCTCTGGAGAGCAGCCGGACACCCCCCCCCGCCCCCGGTGCAACTCTGGGTCCTAAACGTGCAGAAGACCCGCTCTGGAAGTGACCAACAGGTGACCCAAAGTTGGGTTTGGGACTCACAGCCTGTTCCAGTGCTCGTTTGATGTCGGATTCCCGCTTTTGCTCTTAGAATAAAATGACTTGGTGGACTTTGCTAACCGGCCGCTCCCCCCCTCCCAGCCTCTCCCTGGTTGAAGGAGCTTGGTCTGGGACTGGACGTCTCTAGTCCTGGGGTGGTGAGAAGCAGCAGGAGCTGAAAAGACAAGACACCTCTTCAGCAGAACCGGGCTGTGCTCAGCTTTGGAGGACGGTGGCTTCAGACACCAGTTGTTTGGCTTCCATTTTTTTAAAAAAATGAACGAGTGAGTGAATGAATGTATGAGTAGATGAATGAACTGGTGAGTCACAAGAAGGACCCTTATTTCATATTATAATGGGGGCCCTGTTGGAGACCTCCAACAGAACAGCGGCAAGTCAGTTTCTCAGCTCAAACCACACGTAGCACGAGATCCGCCGTTGAAGGAGAAATGACAACACATTTGTTAATTGAGTGCCCAGCTTATGATCAGATTGCAACCTTCTGCTGGCCAGAATTTTGCAGGGAGAGAACCCCAGCAAAGAGATTGATGCTGAATACTGAGGGCAGTTTCCACCCCTCTCAAAGGGATATAGCTTGACAGTGTTTATGAAAAAAAAAAAGCCACCTAGTTTTAAGTCACAGCTGCAAAGCCAACTCTGGAGACATGGATGCCTCTGCAGACGGCAAAACTGTGCTGATAAAAACCAGGACAGGAGAAGAAAAAAGAGGAGCGGAAAAGTGACCCATTTCCCCCCCCCCAATGGGGGAAGATTCTTGACTTCTGATCTCATCGGCATCAAGACTTGTAGTCCTTCTGAAACGCTGGTTCAGCTTTTCAGTGGGGAAAAGGATTGCATGGTCTCTGCAAGGAGAACAAAGGTGTCCTTTCAGCGTGGAAGGCAGATGGTCTACACGGCTTCCTGTTTTCAAACTTATCCACCTCTGCATACTGAAAGGCTGTTCTTATATGTGGGACTGCTATTTTCATAGACCAGAGGTCTCAAAACTCACAAGGCTGCAGGCCTCTGAAATGATAAATGGATCCACTTCTCTCTCCTTCCTGGGCCAAACCAATTAATGATTTGTGTGGAGCTCTGATGGGACAAGAACCAAATGTATTATCTCCAGCTGATGTCTCCTCTTTGCAGAACAGCCACCATCCCTTGGCTTAGGCAGAACGGACAGGGAGCAAAGGCCAAGCTAGCTTTGACCGTTCTCCCACTTTGCCTGGGCAGCCCTAGTTAAACCTGACCCCCTGCTCTAGACCTGCCTATTAGGTAGACATCCCAAAGGCATCCGTGCTTTGCTTTATTCCTGCAGGTTAGGCCTGCATCACACGAAAGTCATCTCCAAGAGGTGTTCCTTGTTTATGTACAGGTTTTCCTTGGTTTTGACGGCGTTCAATTCAAGAGTTGAGAAAGTCTTATGACGGTTCCGCTGATGGAGCTCCTGGATAAAGTCCCTGTCTCTTCTGTGATCCAGTCTCTTCTGTGATCCAGCCCCCCGATGAACGGAAGGGATCCATTTTTTCTCTCCCCTCCCCCAGACCGAATGCCTCTGCTTTATGGAGAGAGGCCCATATGTGAACAGGATGGGAAGCCTTCAGAGATGCCCTCAATCTTTTTGTGATTGTCCTTTGAGCAGCCGCTCAGCCACCCAGGTCAGGAGCTGGCATGCTTCTGACGAAAAATGGACCCTTCGGTGCATTTTTCTCCACTTCTCTCACTGGTGATGCAGGTTCATTTCAAAACCTCCAATCCAGCATCAAGCTGTCTGTCCACCAAGAAGCCTTTGAATTCCAGCCAATTATACAGGTCCCTCCTATTCCTTCTGTTGGACAATGTATTCTACTCTTTTGTTTGAGAAAAGCTTCAGAGTTCTTGGATTCGTATCTGGACTGACGTCTTTGAAGTTTAAATTCAAACTGTTCCAATAAACAGTTAAGTATTTAAGCATTTAAGGATCATCTACCAAGTATGCCTTTTATTCAGCTATTAAACGGAGGGCTTGAGAAATCATTGAGATTATCTTGGACAACTAGAATAATCAACAGTCAGTGCCAGATGGTGCAAAGCCGAGCTGTTTAATGGAAATTAAAGCCGAGATATTTTGGATAGGGAATTGTATTTATTCATTCAATGTATTTGTTTATTAAACGCATTCGCAGAGCCACCCATCTCCCCTTCAAAGGAGACTTTGGATGTCACACAACAGCCAGTATGAAACTGATAAAAGTCTAAAAAGTCGCAGTAATAAATAGCCTAATGACAAAAATACTGATCCTGGGTGGAGGTAGGATAAAAATGGCTCCCTCAGGATGGACTCCTCAGACAGATCTTCCAGTTGGTTGGATGTTCCACGATGATAGTTGAGGCTCACAACAATGCAAAGGTGAGAACGGAGAAGATGCTTAATGGATTCAGAGGCAGTCAAGTAAGAGGCTGGGAAGAACACGGTGACCAGACCACCTGCCTAGGGACAAGCAGGTGATCCCAAGCACTGTTGCAGACAGATAGTTTTGGCAAAGCCCCAAGTCAGAAATGACTGAATGTCTGAACATCAACCAGAAGGCCTTTGAATTGTATCTCCTCTGCAAAATACCATCTTGTATAACTTTAAGAGTCATGGCTGAAGGGTCAACCTGAGGCACAGAGGTCTGGATATGGACCATTGGTCAGCAGATATCACCCAGAGAAAGAGGTCCTTCCCATAGCCACCTCAGCCATCTTGGAAGCAGGGTGTACCCAAGTGTCTAGGAAGACATCCTTGTCTTTCTTTTCGTAAAAGCAATTCCTGTCCTTTCGGATGCAGCCTGTATTTCATCCTTCTGTCACAGGCTGGCGTTGCTCTATCACCTGTGGTCATGGACCATCCTCTTCCTTGTGTTCCTTCCTTCCTTCCTTCCTTCCTTCCTTCCTTCCTTCCTTCCTTCCTTCCTTCCTTCCTTCCTTCCGTCTCTGCGCCCTCTCTTTGCTGCTAAATTACAGTACTGGCCAAAATTGTGGAAACCTTTTTGGGAAAAGTGTACATTTGAGGTTTGATGGCTAATAACACTTTTTGGGGGGAGTAGTACCACAAAATTATACATCAATGGGAAGATAATTTAATCAAGAATGTAATGCAACGTAGTTTATTCAATTATCTGCACCGTATTCTATGAAAAGTTATAGCCAAATAACCAGAAAAAGGAAGCACAATTTGCTTAGGTTGATCTCAGGTAGCTTTCCTTCATCTGATTGTAGCTTTCCTTCATCTGATTGTAGCTTTCCTTTATCTGATTGTAGCTTTCCTTCATCTGTCAGGTAGCTTTCCTTCATCTGAGCGTGAGTGTTTAGAGAACCAATCAGATGTCATCTTATTTTGGCAATGAGCCAATCAGATCACAGTAGGATTCAGTGATTGATGTCCTGTATTGAAGCTGAGAGGAGGACATTGGTCAGTGTGTTATGGGATGGCTATCCAGTTGGTTGGGGTTTTTTGTGTTCTTTCATTGAGTGAGCTTGTAAAATGTAATAAAATTAAAGTCATGGTGCAAAGAGTTGACCGGTTGCCCAGAAAGCGATGTAAAATAGTATTTATTAAGTGAACAAGGCTACAGTTATAAAGAAACTAGAAGAAAAAATGGTGAAAACTTAACCAAAGGTGGCATTTCTACTGTACACTTTTCCCAAAAGGTCTCCACAATTTTGGCCGCTATTGTATACTTTTAAACATAACTGGAGGAGGAATCATTGCAGCTGCAGATAATTACTTAACTTGATCATCATGGAGCTTGCTATATCCTACAGTGGCCTCCTGAAGACCCAATTGATACCAGTTATGGGTATCCACGAAACTGGGGTAATGGGAGGCACGTGGCATCATGACATCGTCGTGCCATGTCATTTGCGCAATCGAGGATGTCATATCATTGGGGCTCCTTTAGAGGTCCTTGATTCCTGCTGATCACATGGAGCTCGCCCTGCTGTTTTGCTGGGATCCGTATTTCTTCCAGAGCATTTCTTCAGATCCCCGTTGAGCTTTCCCCCTTCCAAACATCTTGCTTGCCTTTTTGAGGCAACCAAGGCCAGTAGATGCTGGGACTGGCCTGTTCAATTCCCAGGCAGGTTACTTGACGTGCCTCTTCTCCCTTACTCAGCACTTCACAGCAATATAAAACAACCATGACGTTATTTCTGGTTGCCTCCTTAATAAAAAGGCTGGAAGGTGGTGCTACAGTCACTTTTAATGAGGATCCTGGAGGGAGGAACTGCAGAGCTTGGCCAAGAATGTTTTCACGAGGCACCTCCTCCTCCCAGAGAATCAGCAAGAGAAGAGAAGCCCGTTGATGAAAGACGATCAGCTTCGCTTGCGGCCAGCTGGACGGGGTTGAGGAGGCAGAAACCCTGGTGGGGCTCAGCCTCCAGGCCAGCCTCCCTCATGCAGCTTGCAAAGTGTCCCCCCCCCCCTCCACAATCTTCCATGATTCCACACCTGACTTACAGTAGTGGCCAAAATTGTGGAAACCTTTTGGGAAAAGTGTACAGCAGAAATGCCACCTTTGAATTAAGTTTCCACCCATTTTTCTTCATAACTGTAGCCTCGTTCGCTTCATAATTTGATTTTACATCGCTTTCTGGGCGACCAGTCAACTCTTTGCACCATGACTTTAATTTTATTACGTTTTACAAGCTCACTCAATGAAAGAACACAAAAAACTCCAGCCAATCACATAACACACTGACCAATGTCCTCCTCTCAGCTTCAATAGAAGACATCAATAACTGACTCCTACTGTGATCTGATTGGTTCATTGCCAAAATAAAATGACACCTGATTGGCTCTCTAAACACTCACGCTCATTGGCTACAATCAGATGAAGGAAAGCTACCTGATATCAACCTAAGCAAGTTGTGCTTCCTTTTTCTAGTTATTTGGCTATACCTTTTCATAGAATACAGTACATATAATTGAACAAACTATGTTGCACTCCATTCTTGATTAAATTACCTTTCCATTGATATATAATTTTATGGTACTACTCCAAACAAAAAGTGGTGTTATTAGCCATCAAACCTCAAAAATATATTTTTCCCAAAAGGTTTCCACAATTTTGGCCACTACTATATGTTCCAGTAGCCAGACGGAAACATGTCTGTGTTACCATTTTCTCACTGAAAAGGCTGGGCAGGAAATCTCTATGTAGAAAGTTGTAAATTCTCCTCCCTTTTGTCTTCTCCTCTTTCTTGCTTTTCTAGAAAAGAGGAAGGATGAAGAATCCCACAAATAAAAGCTCTGGGACCCTTCAGTAGGGCATTTCAGACTTTGAAACCACAAGTTGCAATCAGGGAATCCGTATGTCACCTCTAACTCCTGAGCAAAAATCCCCCCCCCCCTTGGACCAGCCCCTTCCTGACATGCAGCTAGGGCAGGGGTAGGCCACCTTGGCTCTTTTATGACTCGCGGCCTTCAACTCCTAGAATTCCTGAGCCAGCCATGCTGAGGAGAAAGAGAGAGGTTTCCAAGCTGAGCCATGCTGGCTCAGGAATTCTGGGAGTTGAAGTCCACAAGTCATAAAAGAGCCAAGGTTGCCTACCCCTGCCCCAGATGGTGGGCAAGGAGTTTTGGTTGAAGATCAAGGGTCTGTACAAACAGGCGGTCCAGGGGAAATGCACAGAGAGCTGAATTAGCTCAAGGACCTCACCAATGATGGGCCTACCACAGGGATAGGCAACCTCGGCTCTTTTATGACTCATGGATTTCAACTCCCAGAGTTCCTGAGCAAGCATGGCTCAGCTTGGAAACCTCTCCCTTTCCCCTCAGCATGGCTGGCTCAGGAATTCTGGGAGTTGAAGTCCACGAGTCATGAAAGAGCCAAGGTTGCCTACCCCTGAGCTAGGGAGCCAGCTTGCTTTCAGTTCCTCTGCTCTTGTCTTCTGAAGGATGAAGGAAGGATTGGAAGAACAGGCAGCCCTGCTGCTTTGGAAGTGCTGCAGAGGGTGGGGCGAAGGCGAGCGAGGGGGCATTCGCCCAGTCTAAACTCTGCCTCCCTTTGCAAATGTTGAGGCCCCTGGAAGCAATGCATAAGCCAGGGATGGGGAGCAGTGGATTTTCCCTTCCCTCCGTTCCTTCTGCAAAGGGTCCCCAAAGAGTTGGGTGGTCAACGTGTTTGTGGTTTCAACTGCAGACTGTGGAAGAGGTGGGGGGGTCAACCACTCACCGCCCATTTCCAGCTGACAAAATGGCCCCATTCAAAAAGCCCACAACCAGCCCCATTGCAGCTTCCTTTCTCCCACGTGGCCTTTTCTTCCGAGAAAACGTGGAACTGCCATTGATTTTTCTAAGCAAGCCGCCGGGTCCTCCGGAGAGCTGAAAGTCCCAAGGTTTTACTGGCTGCCTCGGTTCTTGGCGCTTTGTTGCCTGCCTGTTTCCAAGGGAAGCTTTTTAAAAATTCAGCTGGGTGATGGGAAATCTAGTGGATGCCGGCGGTGGGCATACGAATGTCCACATCCGCCCCAGGGCACCGGACACCCCACTTGTTCCTTCAGTGTTTTGACAGTGAATTCTGTCATGGTTTCTCAGTGTGCTAAACCCAACACTTTTTGTCCTTTCTCAGGTTTTCACCCCCGATCTTTCTCTATCTCATCAGCATAGTGCCCTCATTGTGGATTCTGGAACTTCAGCCTAAAAATCAGGTACTGGTTCTGCGATTTCTTACTATACATGATGGAGAAGGAGGGAGACTGTTTGCTTGGGCAAAGAAAGCCGAGCTGCCTGGAAGCCAATTTGGGCATCAGTTACTGTATTTTTATATCCTGAATTCAAGAAGCAGTTTCCTCTGGGCTTTCTACCTGAGGTACGGAATTAATAATAATAATAATAATAATAATAATAATAATAATAATAATAATAATGATAATGATGATGATGATGATGATGATGACAAATTTGGCATTGACAAATTCGCTATTAGTCAATTGCAAAAGGCAGCTTTACTAGGAACTGCTTCCATCCTGCGACGATATCTGTAATACCATCAAACATCCACATCTGCCTATTCCAGGTCCTGGGTAAGGACTCGATAGGTAGACAAAATGCCAAATCCAGTCTGAACATCTGGCTGACTGTGCGATGATCCATAATAATAATAATAATAATAATAATAATAATAATAATAATAAAGTTGGAAGGGACCTTAGTGGTCATCTAGTCTAACCCCCTGCTCAGGCAGGAAACCCTATACCATTTCAGTCTCTTCTTAAAAACTTCCAGTGTTATAGCATTCACTGCTTCTGGAGGCAGGTTGTTCCACTGGTTAATTGTTCTAACTGTCAGGAAGTTTCTCCTTAGTTCTAGGTTGCTTCTCTCCTTGACTAGTTTCCATCCGTTGCTTCTTGTCCTGCCTTCAGATGCCTTGGAAAATAGCTTGACTCCCTCTTCTTTGTGGCAGCGCCTGAGATACTGGAAGACTGCTATCATGTCCCCCCTCATCCTTCTCTTCATTAAACTAGACATACCCAATTCCAGCAACCGTTCCTCATATGTTTTAGCCTCCAGTTCTCTAATCATCTTTGTTGCTCTTCTCTATACTCTTTCTAGAGTCTTAAAATTAGGCAATGATACAACACCGACATTTCTTGGTGCACCTTGAAGGATGTGAGTTGTAATTGATATGCAATCAACTTGGTGCACCTTGAAAGAAGTGAGTTGCTCGTGCACGGTCCCTTGTTAGATTACCTTTAAAGGGGGCATTTTGTATTTCATTTGCATTTCTCTTGCTGCCGTTTTAGTACAGCACCAATTAAATGAATGTCCCCAAGTCATGGTTCATTGGCATTTCACACTCAATACAGCAGTTGCAACAAAGTAGGACTGAGTAATTGTATAACATTAGCTTAATATTCTGACCAATTCACTGTAGCCACACAGGAGAATTATGGCACAATCCAAAGATTGTCCAGTTGTTTTCGCTGTGCTACATCTTCCTGGCATAAGTGAGCCATGCGGGTCCTGTGTACAGTAGTGGCCAAAATTGTGGAAACCTTTTGGGAAAAGTGTATTTTTGAGGTTTGAAAAGTGTGTTTTTGGGGGGAGGAGTAGTACCCTAAAATTGCATATCAATGGAAAGATAATTTAAATCAAGAACGTAATGCAACATAGTTTGTTCAATTATCTGTACTGTATTCTGTGAAAAGTTATAGCCAAAGAACTGGGAAAAGGAAGCATAACTTGCTTAGGTTGATATCAGGTAGTTTTCCTTCATCTGAGTATGAGAGAGAGAGAGAGAGAGAGAGAGAGAGAGAGAGAGAGATATGCTTTATGCTTTCTGCTGCTTCCTGCTGAGATGCAGCAAATAAGCTTGTCAGCTTGTCCGAGAACAGCATGAGGCCACTCTCTTTTTTACACACACACACACACACACACACACACACAGAGAGAGAGAGAGAGAGAGAGAGAGAGAGAGAGAGAGAGATATGCTTTATGCTTTATGCTGCTTCCTGCTTCCTGCTGAGATGCAGCAAAGGCAGGAGCCCTGCCCAATAAGCTTGTCCGAGAACAGCATGAGGCCACTCTCTTTTTTACACACACACAGAGAGAGAGAAAGAGAGAGAGAGAGAGAGAGAGAGAGAGAGAGAGAGAGAGAAGGGAAGCACAAGTGCCTCTCTCTGTCTCTATCTCTCTGCAAATGGTGGAGGAGGCTGGGAGCCGAAGGAGAAGGCTTAAAGAGCCACCTGCAGCTCTGGAGCCGCGGGTTGCCGACCCATGGTCTAGCTGATCTGAATCGCTTCTCCCTGGATTCCCACTGCATCTTCTTCCTCGCTAGGCTCCCCCGCTGCTTTAACCCCACATGGATTGCCCACAGCAAGGGGGCACCCCCAAGGCTTTGGAGAGCCAGTGAACTGTCAAGGGGGAATCTTTGAGACCCTTCCATATCAGGTCTGTGCAGGACCAGAGCTGAAGCTGTATTTTCATTGCAGCTTTGTCCCAACGAATACGAGCAGCTTGTGAAGAACCACAGTGGAAAAGCCAGACCCGGTTACGGAAATGAGACCACAGCGAACAACATAATGGAAAAGGTAAATATGGAGGTGCTGGTTGATATCTCATAATCACCATTTGGATTTATTTTATTTTTTTTTTTGAGTTAAAATATATTTCCACAGCAACAACAGCCTTGGGGGAGCAACAAGGAAATAGAATTACACCCGTGCGATCCCAGAGATGCTAAATGGGATTAAAACCATGACCACATTGTGCCTGCCCAACGAGGAGCACTGAGATGATAAATATCTTTTTCAATAAAAGCAAATCTAGGTTCGGGAGAGCCAACTGTGTAAGAACGAATAGATAATTTCCTCTGGCCATTGGGGGGGAGAGGGGGAAAAAAGAGTCTCTTGGATTCAATCCTCCCCCCTCCCATAGGTGTGCAAGGTGGGCCAGGACCAGAAGCCCTTTCTCCAAAGAGAATCCCCCCTCCCTGCCTCCTCTGCCCTCGTTTTTCTGCTTTCTGACCTTTGCTTTCGCTGCAGCTGCAACAGGCCCAGGAGTTTGTCAACACGCTCTCCAAAATGTGTGAGCCCATCTGGACGCTGAGCCTCCACCAGACCTTCCTCCTGCTGCTCATCCTGGGCCGTTGGCTGCTTCCCATCGGCGGGGAGATCACCAGGGACCAGCTGTCTCAGCTGCTGCTGCTCTTCGTGGGCACCGCCGCAGACATCCTTGAGTTCACCAGTGAAACCCTGGAAATAGAGAACGTCCGGTAGGGCTCAGGTGCTCTTGACCAGGGCTTTTCAACCAGTGGTACTGGTACCACCTGTGGTACATTGGCACCTGGCAGGTGGAATGCGAGCATCCTAGAAAAGGGGTAGCGGGGCAGGGGAATGAGCTGAACCGGTGGCAGCACCACACAAACCTGAGCGAGAGATGGCTGGAGCTGCAGGGCTATCAGGGCTCAGCAGAAGCACCAGGATCAGTGCCGCTTTCCAGTTGATCGGTGCTTTTTTGGGGCTGTCAGGGCTCAGTGGAAGTGCCAGGATCAGCGCCAGGCTCCAGCTGGAGCTCAGCGCTGATCCTGGCGCTTCTGCTGAGCCCAGAAGAAGCGCCGATCAGCTGGAATGTTGCAGCATCTCCAGGGTCTTGTGATTTACATTCAGAGGCTTGGCAACTGATTCGTATTTATGGCGGTCACAGTGTCCCAGGGTCATGTGAAGTGACCAAAACCTGCTTCAACCACCCAGCAGATGGGGGGGGGGAATAAAAACCAAACACCCCCCACCCTTGCTGCCAATCCCCAACAGAAATGCTCTCAACAATGAAAACCTCGGACAGGAGAAAGAGCACCGCTGGGTGGGCAGGCAGACGTCTTGCTCGGCTGTGGCTTGGGGGGGGGGCACTTTTTTCAGTGGCATTGTAACTTCGAATAGTCACTAAGTGAACCGTTGTAAGTCGAGGACTACCTGTACTTTATCACTTTTTTCCTTTTTTTTGGGTCATCAAATTTTTGACACCTTGCTAGGCGACTGGTGGTACTCGGATATTGCCATATCCTAAAAGTGGTACAATGGGTGAAAAGGTTGAAAAGCCCTGCTCTTGACTCTGCAGCTGCACCCAAAATGGAGGAGGCAGCCTGTTCTTCCATCCTTCTGTCCAGCTGTTGCCTGCTGCCCCACCCTCCGATTTTCCTTATACCTGCCATGCTTGTGAATAAGCCAGAATGATAGGATGGTGAATTTAATTGTTGCAAAGGCTTGTAAAAGGGGGAAGATGAAATCTTTATTCTGATTAAAAAGGCAGCGGTATTTTTCTGTTACTCTCAAAGGAAGCCTTCTGCCGTCACTGGCCTTTAGTCCTTGTTAGCTCTAGTCAAAGTGGGGGATGCCTCACCCTTTTTCAAAAAGCGGTGCCCTAAAGTTGTTGGTTTTTTTTTTTTGTAAAAAGTTTTTATTTTCAATTTTACAATACATTACATTCTTAAAAATACTTCAGATAAAAAAAATAAAACAAATTAATACACACCACTTTCGGTATTGCTCACCCATTTCCCCCCAAACCGCATCCTCCCTCTAACCAACTTGCCCTTTTCCCTCTTCTTCCTCTTCCTCACTCGCCCCCTCTCCCCTTCTCCTCAACCTTCCAACTTGCTTCTCCCCTTCTTCTATCTTCTTGCTCCAGATGCGGTCCAGGGGAAATGCCCGAGCAATTCCTCTCTTCAAATTGAAACATCAATATTATATACAATAAAACTATTTCTACTTATCTGAGTTACTTAAACTTCAACCCATCCTCCCCCCACCCCCCTCCCCCCACCCCCCTCCCCCCCACCCCAACTTCCCAGAGCAAAGTACAGGGTTATACAAATATATTAAACATAATCTATTTAAGTTTACTAATTATACAATAATCGAAATCATACTAACCCCTAACTCTCTTCAAACTTTAACATCGTATGTTTATAAACAAATTCATTACTCATAAAATAAATGAAACTTTGTAGTTCCATACTTCTTCTGAACATATTCTATCCATCTTCTCCATGCGTTAAAATATCTCTCTTGTGAATGATCCTTTAAATAAGCAGAAATTTTAGCCATTTCTACTAAATTAGAAACCTTAAATACCCATTCTTCTAAAGAAGGGAGAGTATCCTTCTTCCAATATTGACCCACCAATAATCACCAATAATCTTAAAAACCCTAAAACTGGTTTTTAAACTCATTTAAATTTGTATAAATTCAAGGCAATGAAACAAGTTAAAATTCAGAGATACAGATCATTTATTCTCCCATAGATGGGAAGTTTGGTTTTCTGAAGCCTGGTCTGCTATTATAAAATGGATGATTTGGTACAGTAAAATAACTTTAAACTTATTTCCTTCACCCAGTTTCATTATTTCCAACCCACAATATTCCCTCACTCTCATTTTATGAATTCTTCTTCTTGTGCCATATCCGCTATCAGACGTTGGCGATCCTGTTTTTATCAGCAGCCACACAAAAAAGTGCTGCAGAGTTTTGTCCAAACCCAGTCCCTTAGATTTTGAAGCCATGATGTTCTTCTTCTGCCTGGACCTCATTTGCCTTCAATCTTTCCCTGGAGAATTCAATGGAGTATGCCGTATTTTTCTGGGTGTCGCGTCACATGTCCGAAATATTCTAACTTTCGTTTTTTAATTGTTTTGATGATTTCCCTTGGCTTTCCCAGGCGGCTTATCACCTCCTCATTTCTGATCTTGTCAACCCAGCTTATACATAACAGCTGCCTGTTTAAGTCCACATTTCAATGCTTCTAGTGTCTTCAGGTGGCCTTCGGTCAGAGACCAACTCTCTACTCCATAGAGCAGGATAGAAAAAATATAGCATCTGACAAGCCTGATTTTCAATCTTAGGCTTATGTCGTGACAGCAGAAGACCTTTTTCATTTTGAAGAATGTGGTTTAAGCTTTCTCTATCCTTGTCTTTACTTCAGTGGTCATGTCCCATGTCCCAGTGGTCATGTTCTATAATTTATGAATTATAGAGACGAATTCTAATTTTCCATTGTTGGAGACCTCCTTAATCTAACCAATGTGTCTGGTCTAATTATGCCAGTGCCTTGTCTCTAAAATGCTTGCCTTTCCTTTTTCCAGGAACAAGGATGCTCTGGTATATGTCATTCTAGCCGTGTGGACCTGGAGCATGTTGCAATTCCCTCTGGATCTAGCAGGTTGGTCCTGTCAGTGTTTCCCCAGGATTGTGCTCAGGCTCATATGATGCTCTCTTCCTCCTCCTCAGAAGCTGCTTCAGCTGGCTTTCTTTGGGCTGGTCCCTCCAGGGTGGAACCGTGGAAAGGCCAGTCTGAAGGCCCAGACAGGTGAGGCATCATTGTGAAAGAAAGAAGGAGAGACCCTTGGACAGATGCAGGGACAGCCAAGGAGGCGGACAAGAGGCTGGAATGTCTTATGAGGAAATAGATCCATCTTTAACTATAAATAGATGATAGATAGATAGATAGATAGATAGATAGATAGATAGATAGATAGATAGATAGATAGATAGATAGATAGATAGATAGACGGATGGGTGAGTGGGTGGTGGGTGAGTGGGTAAGTACACAGACAGACAGACAGACAGACAGACAGACAGAGTAGTGGCCAAAATTGTGGAAACCATTTGGGAAAAGTGTATTTTTGAGGTTTGATGGCTCATAACACCACTTTTTGTTTGGAGTAGTACCATAAAATTATATATCAATGGAAAGATAATTTAATCAAGAACGTAATGCAACATAGTTTGTTCAATTATCTGTACTGTATTCTATGAAAAGTTATAGCCAAATAACCAGAAAAAGGAAGCACAACTTGCTTAGGTTGATATCAGGTAGCTTTCCTTCATCCGATTGTAGCCAATGAGCACGAGTATTTAGAGAGCCAATCGGGTGTCATCTTGTTTTGGCCATGAGCCAATCGGATCACAGTAGGATTCAGTGATTGATGTCCTGTATTGAAGCTGAGAGGAGGACATTGGTCAGTGTGTTATGTGATCGCTATCAAGTTGGTTGGGGGTTTTTTTATGTTCTTTCATTGAGTGAGCTTGTAAAACGTAATAAAATTAAAGTCATGGTGCAAAGAGTTGACTGGTTGCGCAGAAAGCGATGTAAAATAGTATTATTAAATGAACAAGGCTACAGTTATAAAGAAATGAGAAGAAAAATGGGTGGAAACTTAACCAAAGGTGGCATTTCTACTGTACACTTTTCCCAAAAGGTTTCCACAATTTTGGCCACTACTGTAGATAGGTAGGTAGGTAGGTAGGTAGATAGATAGATAGATAGATAGATAGATAGATAGATAGATAGATAGATAGATAGAAACAGATAATTGATTTACTTAGGAAATGCTGACCTTATGCATACAAAGTTCTAGTTTTGTAAGTTACATCTTAGAAGTCATCACAATGTGAACACTAAACTTGGCTAAATGTGGTTTAGTCAGAAAATGACAATTTAAAGAATGAACTGTGAGACAGGCTCAGCCTGGCTTAGAAACCATTGCTTTGTCTGACAACGTTGTCTTTGGATGATTTATGACATGGGTTTCAACCTCCCGAAAGTAATGCCCTTTTCTTTCTTTCTTTCTTTCTTTCTTTCTTTCTTTCTTTCTTTCTTTCTTTCTTTCTTTCTTTCTTTCTTTCTTTCTTCCTTCCTTCCTTCCTTCCTTCCTTCCTTCCTTCCTTCCTTCTAGTGCAACATCTCAACTCTGATCGAGCAGCTTCCTCCGCAAAAGTTTTTCACCTGCTCCTCTGCAGACACAGTGCCGATCTGTGGAACATCGGGATCAGCTTGTTCATCCAGGACGGCCCTTTCCTGGTGGTGCGCTTGATCCTGATGGGCTATTTTCAAGTCGTGAACCAGATGCTGGTGTTTTTTGCTGCCAAGAATATTCTGATCGTGATGTTGCAGTTGTATCGCCTCGTGGTGCTGTTGCTCGACTTCCATGCCTCCCTCCAGTGCAGGGCAAACAGCCAGAAAAGAGCCACTTCCAGTTGCCCCTGTGAGTCCAGCTCCATCAACCTCCCATCCAATGGCCTGCTGGATGGAGGGGAGTCTACTGCCCTGGAGGACACCTTCCCAGACTCAGTTGAGTGCCTGTGAGGGAAGGTCTCTTCTGCATCAGGACCAGCCCTTCCTTCCAGGGACCAATGTTCAAATGGGCTGGCCTCAGCAACCAGCCTGTTTTCCCACTGTGAGATGGAGGTCCCATCCTAAGAGCAAAGGGGAGATATTTGAGACAGGAGAAAACAAAATCCATTCTATTGGTTGGGTGGATTGATTGATGCGGTATCCACGGTATTTATCCACTATATATCTGATGAGACTCAGCTGAGGCTGTTTTCTGGTTGGACCTTTTTTTTTTTTAATGTGTGACATTTGTGGACTCCATGATTGCCTTCAAAGCCCTGCAATAGCAGAATCTTTACCTGAAATTCAGGTCTACGTCTGGGGCATCCTGCAGGTCCCCTTGATCTGGTCTGAGATCATGTTGACGACGATACGGAGGTTCAAATAAATGGGGAGAGCATTTTGCTGCTTCCTATCTGTCATGGACACATTATGTATTCAGTGAATGCAACAATGGCTACTTTTACAGTTGCTTTTTCCTAGTATAGGTTGAGGATGGCATGGCTTGCCATAGCAGGATTTCAGAGTCTTATGTGACGCTACAATATGTTCAAGTGTTGTTGTTGTTAGTTGCGAAGTCGTGTCCGGCCCATCGCGACCCCATGGACAACGTTCCTCCAGGCCTTCCTGTCCTCTACCATCTTCTGGAGTCCATTTAAGCTCATGCCTCCAGCTTCAGTGACTCCATCCAGCCACCTCATTCTTTGTCATCCCTTTCTTCTATTGCACTCAACCTTTCCCAGCATTAGGCTCTTCTCCAGTGAGTCCATCCTTCTCATTAGGTGGCCAAAGTATTTGAGTTTCAACTTCAGGATCTGGCCTTCTAAAGAGCAGTTGGGGTTGATCTCCTCTAGGACTGACCGGTTTGATCGCCTTGCAGTCCAGGGGACTCGCAGGAGTCTTCTCCAGCACCAGAGTTCAAAGGCCTCAATTCTTTGGTGCTCAGCCTTTTTTATGGTCCAACTTTCACAGCCATTCATTGCAGCTGGGAAAACCATGGCCTTGACTATACGCACTTTTGTTGGCAGGGTGATGTCTCTGCTTTTTAGTATGCTGTCTAGATTTGCCATAGCTTTCCTCGCCAGGAGCAAGCGTCTTTTAATTTCTTGGCTGCAATCCCCATCTGCGGTGATCTTGGAGCCCAGGAAGATAAAATGCAAAAGGTTGGGGAACTGGTTACATGGAAAGAGGTTTTTTCACAAATCAGAAGGGGCGTGGTTTTGTGTGCTGCCTGCATCCCTCGGATGGGGCTTTGCTTCTTTGTGTGGCCCGATTGCTGGCATGCTGTGGCCCGGTACCAATCCACAGACCGGGGGTTGGGGACCTCTTTTCTTGTGATTACAGGCCATTTTCTTTCTGGTTCTATTTTATTTTACACCAGCATCGACTTTCCCAGCTCACCCATGTCTGCCATGTTTACATTACAGTAGTGGCCAAAATTGTGGAAACCTTTTGGGAAAAGTGTATTTTTGAGGTTTGATGGCTAATAACACCACTTTTTTGGGGGGAGTAGTACCCTAAAATTATATATCAATGGAAAGGTAATTTAATCAAGAATGTAATGCAACATAGTTTGTTCAATTATCTCTACTGTATTCTATGAAAAGTGATAGCCAAATAACCAGAAAAAGGAAGCACAACTTGCTTAAGTTGATATTAGGGAACTTTCCTTCATCTGATTGTAGCCAATGAGCATGAGTGTTTAGAGCCAATCGGGTGTCATCTTGTTTTGGCAATGAGCCAATCAGATCACAGTAGGAGTCAGTTATTGATGTCCTGTATTGAAGCTGAGAGGAGGACATTGGTCAGTGTGTTACGTGATCGCTATCCAGTTGGTTGGGTTATTTTGTGTTCTTTCATTTAGTGAGCTTGTAAAATGTAATAAAATTAAAGTCATGGTGCAAAGAGTTGACTGGTTGCCCAGAAAGCGATGTAAAATAGTATTATGAAGTGAACGAGGCTACAGTTATAAAGAAATTGGAAGAAAAATGGGTGGAAACTTAACCGAAGGTGGCATTTCTACTGTACACTTTTCCCAAAAGGTTTCCACAATTTGGGCCACTACTGTACCTCTTTTCCCCAAAGCAGTGGGTTCCCTTCCAGTGATCCAGGCAACCTGGGATTTTTGTGGGGGACCGAAGACCAGGTGGGCGGGGCTGTCCCAGGCGAGCTCCTTTAAGAGGACATGATCTACTCATGTTCTCCCAGCCAAGATGTTGCCATCAGGAATAAATACTGAGGAAAGCTCTGACGGAAACACAACCGAATCCTTTCTCAACTCTCCAGCGTTGCATGAATTTTGTCTTTTGCCTAAGCAATAACACTGCCAGGACGATGTCTGTTTGGAATAGTTTCAGTCCTTGAAATGAAAGGTTGTATTAGCATATCAAAGGCTGGCATGCGCAGAACAACTTTTTATTATTATTTGCCATGAAAGAGGCGTTCAAAGTCTTGCTATTCCTGAATTCAGTTTTGATACGCCATATGGGGCTATTTCTTCTCTTTTCTTTCTGAATGTTGGTATCTTTTGTTACTGTGAGCACAATTCTTAATGCAAAGAGAGGAGATGTTTTAATAAACCAAGAGATTTGTATTTGCTTGGGAAATGTTACTCTGGCAGTGTCTTTGTTGATCTTTAAGAGAAGAGGAGAGAATTTCTCCTGACCACTGAACTCAGTGGTGCCATTCTCCTCCTCCTCCTCCTCCTCCTCCTCCTCCTCCTCCTCCTCCTCCACCACCACCACCACCACCTCCTCCTTCTCCTCCTCCTTCTCCTCCTCCACCTCCTCCTCCTCCACCACCTCCTCCAGCAACCGACCCAAGTCTTGCATTCACAGGTAGCTTCCAGAGTGCTGTGTTAATGTCATTCATGATGTGCACCAATTACGCCCTTCCTCTTAGCCACTAATGCCCTGGTCGGATGGATTACTGCAATGTGCTTTGCATGGGGCTACCCTTTAGAACAGTGGTTCTCAACCTTTTTAATGCCGCGACCCCCAACCGGTCGTAAGTCGAGGACTACTCAACCGGTCGTAAGTCGAGGACTACTCAACTGGTGCAGCGCCGTTTGCAGAATGGGACTTTTGGCGGGCTCAGCAGGGCAGAGACAGCCTGGACAATTCCTATTGGCTTTTGAAAGCCAATAGAATTAGACTGTATTCAAGAGAGTCTATTCTATTGGCTTTCAAAAACCAATAGAATAAAAGGGAGTAGCACAGCTAAGGAAAAGGGGGGAAAAAATGGCGGACTGCGTTGTTTGGCGACCCCCGTGAAATAGCCATTCAACCCCAAATGGGGTCCCGACCCACAAGTTGAGAACCTCTGCTTTTGAAGCTTCTGGAAGCTGCACCTGGTGCAGAATACTTGGATAAGTGGGACACATCCCCTTCCAGGGTTTCCCAGAGGAGGACAGCTCCAGCTCCTGAAGGCAGGGAAGAGGCGACATGGACATCGCAACAAATGCTGTGGCAGCATCGCCCACCCTCATGGGGTGCTGGGGGAGGGGGCAACCAGATCCATAAAACTATTCAATCCAGGTCAGCCTGCAGGATCTTTCCAGGGAACATGATTAAAGATGGCAGTTCAAACCCATGGCCTGGGCCCTCCTTTTAGTGCTGAGTAAGGAACACGCAATCAACAACAGAACGACGCTGTTTTCTGAAGAAACACGCAAAAGGGGCTTCTAGACTTCGGTTTGTTTTACGGACTCATCAAATTTAAAACCAGAAGACAGAATTGTCCCTATATTTGGAGAGAACAGGCAGAGGCTGGCCTGGAGGACAGCCTTTGGCCATTTGCCAGAAATGACTGCGCTCGACTCTGAGGTGAATTTTTATCTACCTAGTCAATAAGAAATGAGTCGTTACTATGGCAATTCTGACAGTGCGAGTGTCAGTATTGCAGTGCAGTGCCTCAATCAAAGGCAGCTCTGCTCTCCACATGGGAGGCACTGCTGCATAGGTGCAACAGTGGTGGGGGATTATGGGAAGACGGGCCAAGGATGGGGTGATAAAGGCCAACGGGAGGGCTTCACAGGGCTTCCTCAGGCCAGGGATGGTTTAATAAGTGAGCCATTTTGTTAATACGTTGGGGTGCGATGTTTGAAATGGCCCCAGCTGTGTTTTGTGCTCGCTGGGAATAGTCCCCGAGTTTCTCTAAATTAGCCCCTGAGTGTCTGTCTTCACAACAGAGGAGATCACAATCCCGTTGGCCAAAATAGACTGCCAGGTTTCGTGGCTGCTGAACTGCGGGCTGACGCTGTGAACTGACCGGAGTTCTGGTTTGTTTTGATTAATCTTACGAAATGTGGGGGCTGCCTAACTCCAGAAGCTTGCGCTCAAAATAGAAAGCAATGAAAAGGAAAGTCCACGTCTCTGGATATACACGCTCCCTACAACAGAAAACACAACCAACGGGGCTTCTCCACAAGCATCCTGCCCCTCGCGCATTGGGAGGAGAGCTTTGATTTGGATGACTTCCGGAACATCATCAGGCTGGGAGCCATGTGGAAGAAACAATTGAATTGTGCTATTTCTGTTCTTGGCTGGATTGTGGTTGGATTGGATACTGTAAGTTACATGCAGTAAACTTCCACTATCAGCTCTGATTCAACTGATGCAGGAATACTACTACTAATAATAATATAATAATAAAGTTGGAAGGGACCTTGGAGGTCATCTAGTCCAACCCCCCTGCTCAGGCAGGAAACCTTATACCATTTCAGACAAATGGCTGTCCAGTCTCTTCTTAAAAACTTCCAGTGTTGGAGCATTCACCGCTTCTGGAGACAGGTTGTTCCACTAGTTGGTTGTTCTAACTGTCAGGAAGTTTCTCCTTAGTTCTAGGTTGCTTCTCTCCTTGATTAGTTTCCCTCCGTTGCTTCTTGTCCTGCCTTCAGGCACTTTGGAGAATAGCTTGATTCCCTCTTCTTTGGGGCAGCCCTTGAGATATTGGAAGACTGCTATCATGTTCCCCCTCGTCCTTCTCTTCATTAAACTAGACATACCCAATTCCAGCAACCTTTCCTTATATGTTTTAGCCTCCAGTCCCCTAATCATGTTTGTTGCTCTTCTCTGTACTCTTTCTAGAGTCTCAACATCTTTTTTACATCGTGGCAACCAAAACTGGATGCAGTATTCCAAGTGTGGCCTTACCAAGGCATTGTAAAGTGGTATTAACACTTCACGTGATTTTGATTCTATCCCTTTGTTAATGCAGCCCAGCACTGTGTGGGCTTTTTTGGCAGCTGCAGCACACGGCTGGCTCCTATCTAAGGGATTGTCCACTGGGACTCCGAGATCCCTCTCACAGTTGCTACTATTGAGCAAGGTACCCCCTATACTATACCTGTACATTTGGGTTTTTTTGCCTAAATGTAGAACCTTACTTTTTTCACCATTGAATTTCATTTTGTTGGATGCATGCGTGCATGCATGCATGAATGAATGAACGAACAAGTCCTATCAGGATTGCTTTCAAAGGGGCTGAGAGTGGTGGGAAGGGGTCATTGTCTCTGAGAAAGCCAAATGAAAGGCTGTATCCAGTTGGATCTTCATTGGGGTGAAATGAAGATGTTAACGCTGACAAACTGTCCTTTTGTTTTCTATGCAGTGCCAGTTTGACGGGGGCATTTG